CAACTATTTTGCAGGCGGGCGCCAGATAACCTAGCGCCGGCGCTGTTTAAACCACCCTGAGTTTGCTAAATCTGTTTAATGCTTGTTTGCAGGGAAAAAATAAGTTGTTTTTGTAACTTTCCCTTTTTTTTTTTTTCCAACCCAAATAGTCTCGCAATGCGATTTTGCGAGTTTCACTGTACATGCGCTGTTTTACTTTTCATTCAAGGCTGTTGCCAGTCGGAGAAAAGTAAGTATTGATATTTAATCTGTCTGTTATGATAAACAAACTAAATAATTAAAAAGCAATGACGCAGTTTTTAAAAATATTATTTTTTAACTTTTTAATCTGACCGATTTAAATAAAAGTGTATTACTTCATGATATATCTAATTAAAAAATAGAAATATTTGTATAGAATTGCATTACATATATTTTTACTTTTTAAACATACAGACGATATATAACGTTCCCATGAAGTCTAAGCCTTTTTTGTTTTATTAAAAGGAAAGAAAATGTGCATATTATTGACATCCTCTCAGAATTATTCTTATGATACTGAGAGAGAAAACTCATTTTAAAAACTGCATTGACATGTTAGACAGTATTATAGATTCTTCATTAAAAATTCTGCTAAAATTAGAGTAGGCAAAATTCAAAATATTAGCTGAAATATCGATAATAAGCTCTTTTTATTATTCATGGTGTAAAATTCTGAGTTTGTGAATGTGTGCCTCCATTAAATGCGAGTTTTCGATGCAAATTAAGATTCACAATGAAGCTACCAAGGCGTTTCTGAAACAGTTGATAAATAACTGATCAAACTAAATTTTAATAATTATTTCTCTTTAGGCATGAATACTTAATTATTTCATTCAATTTCTCGTAACTACAATATTTTCAAATTGAGATTTATTAATAGTAAGTCAAATAGAAGTATTATTATTGTTAACATTAAGTCCATTACTAAAACAATTGCTAGACATACTTTAGCGTTTGGCTTCATTTGCTTTAGTTTATTAGAATTGGTCTTTTTCTATAGTAGTACAGCTAATTCAAATGACACTACTTAGAATCAAAGGAACATGTAATAAATGCAATGCCTAGTTTCCAGAGTTGAAAACCTGGGGCAAAACCATTTAAGGAGACCCTGCTTCCTTTAGTTGTGAATGTAGTAGATATCACTGATATAAATTAATTTTGTAAAGCATATTTCAGGCAAAAGGCTCCAGCAGTGGTCTGTTGTTTAGCGCCGCTGAATTTAGGGAATTCAACCTAGTTGCGATTCCAGGCATAAGAGCTAGATGCATGGTTGGGTTTCGTGATTACTTTCTTGTGTAATGTGAATACGAGCCAGGTTTCTTTAGAAAGCCTGCTTTCTAAGGAATTTCTACGGAATTCTTCTTTGCCATATTTAAATAAATGAAGTTCAAATGATTTCATGAAACAAACTAATAACTTCAACATTTTTCATTCAAAGTATTTAAAGAAAAACACACATTTCACCTTTTTGTCCAATTTATTTTGGCATGTGTCCCATAAAATATGAAATTAACATTTTAAACAAGAATCTAGTAGTTTTCTTTTGGGGGGAGGTAGAAATTTAAAACAAAGAAAGATCTTAAATAATTCTTATTAATTTTACTGCAAAGCCTAATCAAAATACAGAGATATAATTTCATCAACGCAATTAAACAACTTATGAATTTAATAGTGTGTGAATGAAATGTACAGCTAAAGTGTTAATGATATGTAGAAATAAAAAAATCAATTTCTTTCAAACATGCAAAAATCATTTCTTTTGATGAATTGTTCTGCAGTATTTTTGTCCTCAACATTTGAAAATTGAATATTAACATCATTAAAAAAAATGTAATCTTACTCGTTATAATAACTATATTTATTATAACTATATTTAACAATAGGTAATAATAAACGAGACTATATTTAACAATGTTTTACTTTAAACGTAAGAAAATTTTCCATTTTTTTCTATATTACATTTCTCAACGGTTACGAAGTCCCAATGTAAGCCAAAGTAAAGGCCTAAAAAACTAAAATACGAAATTTAGCATTTTCTATTTGCTTTTGAATTTTTTAAACCTAGAATTGAAAAACAATACGTAATATTTAAAATTCTGATACTAAAAGAAGGTTTTAGATATTTCCTTCAAAATAAAGGCATAAAGAATGTGCTGCGTTTGACCCTTTGGAAATCAGGGCCTATATGAATGTTCTGTTTTGTATCCTAATTTATACTGTAAAAAGCAACAGTTATTCAAAAAATTTGAACCTTCAAACAGTTCGCCGAATAAATTAAATATATTATACTTTTAATATTTACATGAAAAACCACACGGTAATATTAAATTGCAAGTGAAGAAAACCTTATATTGGCAGAGTTTTTATACGAATGCCTATCGATTTCTAGAGACTGGCATAAAGGTTTCTTTAGGAGATTTATCATTGTCACTTATACGTCGTGTCAGTCATTTTATATAAAATATACACCATTTTCTCCTTAATTTTAAACAGCTTACATATTCCGCATATCTTAAGATCATTTTAGCAATAATTCATATAAACGTTATTGCCAAGTCCGTTGACAAGTTGATTGCTTGCATTTACTCAACTGCCTTTTTTAATAAAATAAATAACTTTTTATTTTAAACCTCATTTCTAATTTCTAACTAGATGCAAATTTATCGATTGATTAAATTTTATTAAATAAAAAAGTTAGAAAGCGTTTTCTTTCCCTAAAACCCTGTACCTTCATTTCTCTCTTTTGATTTTCCTACAAGCAAATTTTTATTTGATTTTGCGAAACCAAAAATCTTATTTTTATTTGTATTAGTAAGCATTTTGCCTGATAAATAACATTTACGATGTTTTCCTTTTCTCTATATTCATTGCATCATAAATTTAATTCATGAGGCAGGAAGTAGTTTTACGACCGCAAAAATTTAAATTCTAATAAAATGAAAATAAAAATTATATTTATCGTCAAATTATTAATTTGCTTGTACATGTCAGTGACCCCGTAACTATGAGGAAGAAGTAAAAAGAAACAAATAAATTTCATAAATTATAGAATGAAAAAAAGGAAAACTTTTGCTTTAATCATACTTTCAAAGAACACAAATTATTTTAACTTCTTACATATATTTTTTAAGAGTTTCATTTACAAATGCAATAATTACAAATTTTCATATTAACATCTAATCCTTTTTTCATTTCTGCTTTATTTAGAATACTTCTAAAAACCAATTTCTTAATTTAATTTTTCAATTTTTTAAAATTTTATAAAGCTGTGTAAGCTGTGTAAATTAAATAGAAAATGGTGTAGATTACTTTCAGTTAAAAAAAAATCAACATATGAAATCATTACAAATATAAAACAACAAATGAAAACAATAATTCACATAATACTTGAAAAAATAGTTTTTAATTATTAAAAGAAATTACCTCTGCGACTAATATTGTAGTACATTACCTTTAGAAACATCTTTCACTATTTAAAACCATGATATTGATGTTCATAAAAATTATCAGCTACTCAAAATACATCTCAAATATATTTAAAACTGTACCACTTATTTAGAAGATTAAAAATAATTTTTATTGATTTCAAATCACTCCGAATTTTTGAAAAGACCAGTTAAATTTGTAAAGTAAATTTGAATTTTTGTTTAGCCGAATGTGAACTTTCTGAAAATGGAATGGGCATGAGCTCACGTACCAGTCTTATGTTTCTCGCAATACCTGTCAAGTACAGTGGATCATATATGTATTGTAGTGTAATGTAACGTAAGATAGTGATAAAATATTTTGAAAAAAGTAAGAAAATTTCTATCCTCAAAAGGTTTTGGTGAACATTTAATGACATACAAATACAAACCACATCATGTAATTTTAGGATAAGGGATTATATATCGTAATTAGATATTAACGAGGTGAACGTTATAGATACATTAGGCAGAAGAGATGAAAAAATTAGCAACGCCTTCGACAGGAATCGAACCACGGACCTCTGAAATAGCGGATCTGTGTGCTGACCACTACACCACGAAAGCACGCTAGGAAGGCAGGAGAATTACCTTATAACGTAGGTAAACTACATCAACACTACGTTATTAAATCGTAATTAGATATTAACACTAATTTCAAAAGAAACCGAACAACGCAGGTGATATTGTAAAAGCGCACTTGAATTAAATCTGCTCTTCGATCTCTTCAAAAGAGTCTTTATCTGCATTTTAGATATTCATCATGAGGGTCGGACCACAAGGTCCTCAAAAACAGAGATGTCAGGAAAATTTAGAAAAACCACGAAAAGAATATTGAAATTATGTTTCTACGAGAAAGAGGGATTGCGCATTGATAATATGTCCTCCACAGTCAGTCAGCAAATTCGGCATTTTATTGCTATGATGTGAGGTGACTGGGAAAGCATACTGGGTGCAAAAGACTTCTTGTATGCAAGGATTGGATCTGGCTGTTTTGCTAAGGCAATGCTTCAAGCTACAGCAATATTTCAAGAGGGATAGTCAATGAATAGGTGTCTCATTTGTGAGATAATACGAAATTGTCATGAGTAGCTTGTAATTATTTCCAAAGGCGAAGGGCGAATGTGACTACTAGATCATTTTTATGTTGCAATACTGCAGCTTTGGACAATATTACATCATTTCGGTGAAACGTCAGTATTTAATGAGTCACAGTGTATTACTTCGTCATCAGAATACTAGGCCTCGTGTGCCAAGGGACAGTCTAGGAAGGCTTTGCGAAATTCCAATCACACTTTTTTTTAAACTTCTTCGCCCAGGTCCAAATTAACTCTCAAGTGATCTTCACTTGTTTGGTCCCTCAGAGCTCAGACTAATGATGCATACACTATTCTGATGATTTGATCATTTGAGCGCTGATACAGTGATTGATACAGCGAATTTTAAAAGTGCTTTTTAAAAGATTCAAATAAATTAAAATACATTATTTTGATTTTGTATTCTGATGGAACTTACCGCCTTCGAACGAGGCATCAAAAACCAAATGTCCTTTCTTAGCTTTTCCACTGTGGCCAGGAGGTCTCATTACTAAACGGGCCACGTTTTTTACTTCACCAGCATTCTCGCCATCACTACTGCTACTTTCTAGAAAATAAATAAATGAATTTTAAAAAAATTTACTCATAAAAGTAAAGTATTAAATCTATAATATATGTAAGCATTTTTTTACAATAAGTAATAAAGATTATTACTCTTTATTACTTAAGAGCCAGACATCGAAAAGAAAAATCTCATATCAGGAAATCTTATATAAGGATATATATCAAGCTCGCAGAAAGTATTGATGTCAAACCGCCAACTTCTAAAGAACAGTTAAATTTATATATAAGTGAAACATCATTTGTTGCTGATGTCAGGAATTTTACTTATGTTTTGAAGACTACTAAAACATATTTTCCTGTTAAATATATCCTCAAAAGAATTTCATTGGCGTAACTTCCTATCTGTAGTTAACACCAATAAATTAACCATGATTAACAAATTCATCTAAAAGTTGGGAAAATAATAAGCACTTCGTTAGAATTAGTTACATTTTACCGCTGTGATTTAATTCAGGCTACATAACAAGCATTGCATGCAAATAATACTGTAATTCATATTTTGTGTTTCAAAAAAGGATATTTATAAATCAATTTCACGACTTAAAGTGTTGGCTGAACTATTGCTAAGAAATATATTTCACATGCCTGAACAATGGAAGAGGAGATAGGCTACCCAATAAGACAGTTTCTCTTTCCTTTGCGAGATTTTTCCGCAAATTTCATGATAATTTAGACTACTTTCTAAAATCGCACCTAATGACTGTACGAATTAAAAATTCAGTAAGAATGTCATTGTATTGTTGCATTCGTACGGGTCATGGCAGATTGACTACTGAATACACACAGAACTGAGGACAGCTTGATAAAATTTATTTTATCTAAAGAAACACTGCACAGTTCTGGAAGTTTCTACAAAAATATTCTTGCAAATCTTAACAGTATCACAATGCACATTCAATAGTTACACTTCAAACTACTAGGAAAGTTAAAGACAATAGAATCCAAAGCGCATCTAAAAGTCCAGGCTCTCACGGATATCTCAATACTTACAACTAACAACCGAAAAACTGTTGCTCTCTCCGATCTTAAATAGTTTTACCATGGCCTCCGAGAAATCTCTTGTGCTTTTCTACTTCTCGAAATTACCGGAAGACATATGGGGGCTGGATACAGTTATAGATAATATAGGAATTAATTACAGTTATTCAATTACAATATATCCATTACATTTATACTGGGACCGAACCAAAGGTTTCCAAATGGTCACCAAGTTTGACAACTTTCAGAAATTACTCTCCAAATTTGCAGACTAAAATTAGTCGCTAAAACCGTTGCCAGCTAAGGTATCCGGCCAAATTAACGAGATAGCTGTTTACTTAATGTTAAATAGACTTGCCCCTGTATTGTTGTTTTTCCGGTAGAACATCGTTTCTCTCATGCTTTTCATGTTACATTATAGAGAAAAATAAAACAGTTTCCCATATTATAATTTTAATAAAATTATCTATCTGTGTAACAGTATGTTTAGAAATTCTAAAAACCTATGAGAAATGAAAAGAGATAAGAGCATTATATTTTTTACGACAGAAATGAAATTTCATTAAAAATAAATGAATTATTTGAATAATGTACTGTTTATACATAATATTCATCTCAGTGAATAATTATAATCGTTATAATGAAATAAAAACCTTTCTTATAAGCCTCACTCTTCGTAGCTGCATCTTCAGTGAAATCCCTCAACGCCAATAAACGACTTTGTGGGCGTTTCTTCTATTTTTAATTCTTCTAGTCAGTGTTCTTCTAGTCAATGTACATCTTCTAGTCAATGTCAATTGCTCCGCAGATTTCCTTCTATACTTCCTTTAACAGAAGCTGTTTGCTTATTTTAGCTGGTATTATTGCCTTAGATATCTGTCAATGCAATCGTCTTTTCACAGAGTGCTTCAAATTTAAGAGCCCCTGACAACTGTAAGAAATCACTTTTTAATTTTTTTGTAAACAGATCGCTTATCACTTCGTTACGCAAGAGAAATATTTTTGTTTATTCATTCAAATTTTCATTACCGATTTTTTTTTCTCCAAAACAGTGTTTGAAAATGAAATTTAACTCCAAGAAAAAAATCAGTTTATAGGAATATAATGGAATGTTTGAAGATCACAGGTAGCGTCAGCGAGAAGAGCCATCTGAAGCGGTGGTACATTAGTCGCCACGCTGTTTAATGCATGCATACAAACCCGCATGAATAGTAACCTGCAGGTGCCGTACGTTAATTTGGGAGTTGCATGTCCCTTATATTTGGTCCATTAAATCACCTTTTCAAACACCATCAAAACTTTAAGCAGTCAGTCCAGTATCAAATTCTTCTTGATTTCCATCAGCTCTTTCTAGGATATGAATCACTACCAGGATAGTAGTAATACTTCATTTGAAGAATGTATCAAGTCATACTATTTTCAGCTTATCATTGTTATTTAGCAAAACTCCCAACAGCTTAATGAACAGCAACCAAAAAAGGATTTTTTATGTTTGGTATATGTAATTACGACAAAGCATATAGGCTATCTTCCTAAAAGGAACGTTGCCTTTCAGGAGAACTTTCAAATGGAAACTAGCTCATATACTCGTTACATATGGTGGAAAGCCATTAAACTCTCCCAAAAAAGGTATTATAGGCTTTCTAGACTATAATACTTGTCTTTAAAGACACTAGATCAGAAAAATATGGTAGAGGGGTAAAGCTTCGGAGCACTTAAATGCAATTTGGACCTAATTAAGGAAGGTGAGGAGAGCATTAATGTGTTGAAGAATCTCATGATGTCACACCCCGAGTCATTTCAATTAGACTGTCTCGTTGATCTACTGCATTTCCTGGTCATGGAGCTCTTCACTGATTGCAGTGGACACTTAGCCGGCCGGAAATTTGTCGGTACGGATATTTTGCCAACAAGACATTAAGCCTATCAGACATTTAGCTGACAAGACTTTTAGCAAGGTTACCGACAGTACGTGAGACCGACAACATGTTTACTCGACAGCACATTTAGCTGATTATGTTTGCATGCAACAATGTTTTACTAAAATTTGTCCATAATAAAAAGCGAGAAGGACAAGGGTCAAATACAACATTTTTGTCTTTAGCTCTAAAGACAGAATTTATTTAAAAACTAGACTAAAAACTAACCTTAGTAGTTTGGCGTACATTTTGAAATAAATTTCGAGAGTGATCAGACATGGATCTTTTTATTTCAGATAGAGAAATTACTCTTTTATTATTACTCTGAATTTCTGTAATCACGGCATGCAAAAACGGGAGAAAAGAACTACAGAATAATTTGCGATCAGTAATATTTCCACTGAACTGATCGACTTGACGTTTATATGTCTGTAGAATAATAATTGGCGTCTCATGTTTTTCAAACAATGCTCTTGATTTAGAAAAAGTGTCTCAAAATGATCATTTGAGTATTTCCTGATATCCAACAGTTGATCTTGAAGCATTTGGGCATCCTTTACAGCGACAACCAAATCCAGTCTTCTTTTTGTCGTTAGCTACTTAATCTTTATCTTCTTCATTAGCTTCTTTTTGTCGTTAGCTACTTAATCTTTATTTTCTTCGTTAGCTTCTTTTTGTCGTTAGCTAATTAAATGGTTCAATGATGTTGGTAAATATGAATTTGCTTACAAAAAGGGAGACCATAAATTTCACAGTGAAGGATGGAGCCGGTTAATCCCATGGCAGCGGTTGACGCGTTACATTAATCCAATTACTAATTTTATCCAAATCTTTGAGTACAGCGTCCAGAAGCTCAAGGAAAACCATTATAGAGTCATTCCTCTCCACCCAACTTGTACGACATACTTTCTTTTAATATATTTTTTTATCCGAGATAATTCTTTAATATTCTTTGATAAAACTTCTTGTGTCTTTGCAGTATGAAGGAATGAATACGTCTCTTTTATTCCAAATCAGTTTCGGATGTTTTGGACTTGCCAAAAATCCGAGATTTCAAAACAGTGCGTATAAATGATATACAGGGGCATAACTGGCTTTAGGTTACATACATAAATGGCTTTAGGTAATCTTAGCAATACCTTCTTACGCCCTTTAAACTCTCTTCTCATAACACGAGCCTAACTACCATAGCCTTGTCCTCTAAAATGATTCCCATCCAGAACCTGCTCTTTCAAAGTTTTCAAAATTGTCTCTGAAATACGTTGTGAAGTTATAGAAGTAAAAGGAACAAAACACGAAAGTGTTGACGAATTTTTACCTGCTCCTCGTTGACATACCTAAGACAGAAAGACATTTGCTCTACAATTGCACCACCAGTTGTTTCATCAATAAAGACCGAGAAATATTTTGAATTTTTTTTTACTTGTTCTATAATTTTTGTTTGTATCAGAGAACGACAGGTTTCAAATGTTTCGTTTTAGAGCATGAAACTTGTATTTAACACACTTTTCTTTCCAATTCGTAAATATCTTTCAGGGTTTTATCTGCACACTGAAAGGCAAATTTTAAGATAGCTCTTGAATTGCCTTCATTGTTAGAGGGGTAAATTTATCTAAATCAGTTGACTCCTGATTCCGATGCGTGCGTAATACCAAACCTTGTTTTCCACACAATATTCACCTTTTTATTATGGAGTACAGTCGCTTTCAATTCTTTTAGCTTCTTTTATTTTATTTTGCTTAATGAAACCTCCACCAATTTTCATTTGTTGTAGTGTATTTACTTTGAGTTTGTATAATTGCCTAAACAAATTTTTCTGATATTTCCAAGCATACTATGGTTAATGAAATATTACAAGTCCGTTTCCTTTTCTTAAATTATTCTTGCAATAAACAGCACACAGGTTGTGAAAATGTGCGTCCATCTTATTGCAGAGCGAAAGGTACACAATATTTGCAGATGAGTCTTAGAATCCTCAAGCCTGGGATAATTTCTGAACCATGCATTATGAAATTTCTTGAAGAACTTTTAGTCGAAGCGCTATTTGACGGGAACTTATAATTTTTGGACAGCTTCCATGTGAATT